CTCCCTAGGTGGCGCTGGTCCACAGCCAAGAGCTATATGTTTTATTAAGATTTGAAATGACATTGTTCATACATTCATCTGCTGAAGGGCACCCAGGTTGGTTCCATAGTTTTTTGTGCGTGGAGCTGCTATAGACCATGTTATGGCTGTGTCACTGTAATATGCTGATTGTAAGTCCTTTGAGTATAAACCAAAGAGTGGGATGGCTGGGTCAAATGGTGGTTCCATTCCAAGTTTTCTCCTGAGTCCGGGTGGCAGCACCACCCAAGCCCCCCTTGGCACCCTTTTCAAGGTGGACAACATGGGGTGGATGGGGATGTTTGTCACACCAGCCCCGTTACGCAGTCTCCAAGGTCCTTTCTAGTGTCAGCTGACTGAAGTTCAGAGTCCTCGCACATATGCTGTCCCCCATAGTGGGGATACACCTAGGAGGAGCTTAGAAGGCCAAGCACTGCCATCTCCAGGATAGTTGATCTGACCCGAGCATCTCATAGGATGTTCGACAGAAATGCAGGCAAGTTAGGCATCATTCTGGTTTTAAAGACATTTCAAGAATTTAAGACATTAGCCAGGTGTGGCGGCTCATGCCTGCAATCCCCGCAACTCAGGGAGGCTGAGGCAGGAGGACGGCAAGTTTGAAACCAGCCTCAGCAGCTAAGCAAGGCCCTGTCTCAAAACATTAAAAATTAAAAATGGGCTACAGATGTTGCTCAGTGGCTAAGCCCCCCTGGCTTAAATTCCCAGTTTAAAAAAAAAATAAGAAATCAAAGAGTCTTATAGGAAATGCAGGCAACTTGGCACCATCTAGGTTTGCCAAAGCAAGGGGCGGGGCCAGAAATGAGACAGCTGAGGTGGTGCCGGAGCCTTCCAAGCCCACAGAAACTGCACTCTCCCCAAGGCCTGCCACCAGCAGGGCCATCCCTTAGGACAGTGCTTGAAGGAGTCTGAGCAGGGGACATGCGCAGGGCCTGAAGGGCAACGTGGGAGGCCAGAGGACAGCTGGAGGTTAGGCGTGGTCCAGAATGTGGGTGACTCTGGAGGGGCTCAGAGGTGGAGGCAGCAAGCCTGTCTTTGGGTCACTGGATGTGGGGGGCGAGAACAGAACTGGTCTAAGTTGATGTGCAGACTTCTGGCTCAGCATCTGGGGGTCCACCTGGGAGGGACCAGGCTCCGGGGAAGGAGGAGCAGGTTACAGGACAGATCCTGGTGCAGACACCTATGGGCGGTCAGCAGAGCGCCAGACTTGGGTGGCGTCATCCTAAAAATGAAACATGCAGACCCAGGAGTGGTGTGTGAGTGGGAGTGGAGGGATGTGGGCAGCAAAGGAGCGCCCATGGGAGAGCCCAGCGGGCAGCAGGGCAGTGAACAGCTGGTTCTTAAATGCACCTTATGAAAAATGAAAAATGCCAGCAGAGTTGACCACGCACATCAAGGGCCATGTTTACCGTTGTGCTCGGGAGGCTCCAAGGTGTGGGTTGGCATCCGCCATTCGCAGATCACAGTAGCTCCCATCCTTGCAGGTGACCCTGCATCCATTCGTCCTGCTGCTTGGTCCCCGTGCACAGTAGTTGCTCTGAGTCCCTGTCAGGTGTGAGGGCCTGGAGAGGGCTGGTGGACTCGTGCTCCTGATTTGCCACCCTAGTGTCCTTGTGAGAGTCATACCCTGACATGAGGAAGCCGTGTGCCCTGGGTGCTGTCGGGCCTGGGTATGCCCTTCGGTTCAGGTAGGCTAACCAAGTCCAGCCCTTGGCCTCAGCCTCCTCACTGCCAGCTCGTCTGCAAAGGGGTCTGCATGACCCCAGGCACAGCTGCGTCACCTGTAGACCTGCATGGTCTTCAAACCACTGCAGAGGGAGGTGCTGCTTCCTGCTCCTGTACAAACGAGAAAGTGACGGGCCACGGAGGTGACGGGCTCATCCATCCCACACCTGAGCCCGGGCCTTACATCAGGGCCTCCCGAAGGGACCCACTAATTGGGATCACCCAGGAAGCCCCTGTACACAGGGCATCCCTGGGTCTCGGTGGTGAGATTTGGAAAGGCCCTACCCTCTCCACACTGGATTTTGAATGGATTTGAGGAGAAATAACCATAATGAGGACTTCCTGAACAGTTAGACCAGAAGTCATCAAACTTTCTTGGAAAAGCCAGAAAGTAAATGGTTGGAGCGTAGCAGGCTGTGTGGTCTCTGGCCCCCACTGCAGTTTCAAAGCAGCTGTAGGCGACAGGCAGACAAGTGGATGTGACTGCGCTTGGCCTGTGAACCATAGTTTGCTTACTCTGATCTGAATAATTTGCACTATGTGTGATGATCCAACAAGTGTGAATTTTTCACACTCCAGGGGGTATTTGGGCTTCTATAAGAATACACCCAAGCTGATATGGTCTCTTTAAAAACGTTATCAGATCAGAATTGCATTCAGCTGTTAGTACAAAGACCCCTAAGACATTAGTCTGAGCAATTAAGGACTATTTCTCTTTTGTTAAAACAAATTTGGGGGGTGGCGCTGGGTTGTGGCTTAGTTGAAAAGCAATTGCCTGACATGTGTGAGGCACTGGGTTGGATTCTTAGCACTACATATAAGTAAAATAAAGGTCCATCGACAACTAAAAAAAAATCTTTAAAAATTTTTATTTTGATTAATTAATAATTGGTGGGATGACTCTCCTCAGAGACCCAGAGTCCTTCCTGTTTCTCAAGATCACCTCATGATCACAAGATGGCTCCTGGAGTACCAGTTATCACATCTGTGTTTGAGGGAGAAAAAGATAGAACAGCAAAATGATACTTGGTAGCTGAGTCAGATCTCTCTAGAGAACTTTCTTTTATAGCTTAGAAGTCCCCACTGATTTTTGCTCTTAGTTCATTAGCCACTCTTACCTGTAAGGGAGACAGAAAAAAAAAATTAGTTTAAAAGTTTTTTTTTTTCCTCTTTTTTTAGCTGAATACATTGCTATCCCCAAGAATATCAGGGGGAAATAGGTACTAGATGGGTAACTGGCACTTGCTGTCACTCAAGAGTAATGCACTAAAGTCCCTTGAGCTCTTCTAGGTTTATTTAACTGATTTATATGTCACTTGTAGATTGTGGAAATCTAAGATCCAGATCTCAATAACCAGCCGAGCCTTCCAGGTGCTTTTGGGGCTCAGTATATAAATCGAATATCCATCCCGCCAGTCACCATCCACTGTGTGCACAACCAAGACAAGAAACATTTAATACATACCTTTTCCTCTTCGGACAGCTTTGGCTGCTAGAAATTTCTTCCCCCTAAAATTGGTCTTGTCTTTTCCACCTGCTGAAAATCTGTTTCCTGAAACCCTCTGGACACGTTTAGCGGGTCTCTCCTCTTTGCCGTGGCAGCCTTTCCAGGGATTGGGAGAGCTCACCTGCTTCCTCTGTTCCTGGGTGTTGTCATCCTCCTGGTCGCCATCTTTCTTCTGATTATTTGAATATCACCTTCCCAGGCCTAGTGCCTCTCAAAGTGTACAAAGTGTGAATGATCCACTGGGAGTTCCTGTTGAAATGCGGGTCTTGAGTCAGTTTGCTGGGGTGGAGCCCAAGATTCTGCATTTTTGACATCTTCCCATTGATGCCAGTGCTGCTTGGTCCAGGGACCACAGTTTGAGTAGCATGTGATCTGGGCCTTTCTGAACAAAGATCATCTCATAATAGGTGGCAAGCAAACCCATCAAGTAGGACTGGTGATTTAGAATGGAGCAGAGCCATCAACTCTCCTATTCTGGAAGTTCATGTCTTTTAATGAGGACACAGGTCACATGGGCTTTTCCTGGTGGCCCTCCTCCTGGTGCACTTAGCTGGAGCACCGAGCCCTCCTCTGTTCCCCAGGCCCCTGCTGTACCGTGTCCTCGCATGGTGTTAGGACCCCACGTTGATCCGTAGAATTTCATCACGTTGAATTAGATCCCTCAGGCCAGTCGAGAGCACTTGGTGTCTGTCACCAGTATGTTTACTGTCTCTCTTGGCTTGGGGGCTTCTGTAAACTTGATAGGCCTCCTGTTTCTCCATCTAATTCCACTGGAAACTTCTGCCCATTAATTGAAATTTTTTGGCACAAACCTTCCTTGCCCGTGTTCACAGGGATATTGTGAGAGACCCTGACTGACGTTCAAGGACATGATGTCCACATTTGGGGATCACAGGTGGTTTCACCTAGAGGCAGAATTCATCACTCACATCAGAGATGTCTATTTTTATGGTTAAAGATATTCCTAACACATGTATTGACGTTTACTTGTTGCAAATGACAACAGCCATTTCTCACTGGGGATTTTACTCCCTGGGCTGTTTCGACTCATGTAATTTCTTAGTGCGTTGCTCTCTGGGATGTGGTTGCCATGTGTCTCTGGGAGATGCTGGGGCCAATCAACGCTGATGAAGGAGCCCTTGCATTGGTGCCCCCACGGCTTTCACTGGGAGGTCACAACTTAATTAAAATAAGGAAGTTTTATGTCCTGGTGTGCTCATCCCATCTGGAGGTGACCTTTCCTCCGAGCTGTCGAGCAGATCTCAACTCTGGTGTCAATCCCAAATCTAATCCCAGCTCCTCCCTGCGGAGGTCTTCGTGGCCCCAGGAGGAGGCTCGTTGCTGGGTGACCCACCGCTGTCAGCTTGGTTGTGTGGATGGGAAGAGGGTGGCCAGTGAGGTGGCCTTGCTGTTCCCAGCAGCCTGTTGGTGCAGCAGCACCCACAGGACAATGTGGAAGTGTCTGCTGCTAAGTGCGCTGTGGTCTCTGCTGCCGTTGGGGAAATGGCACACAGCGTGATGTCCTTGCCCATCTTTCCTGTGCCTGTTTGTTCAGCCAGTGCCACTGAGGCCCTGCTCTGTGGCATGCACACGGCACCCTGTGGAGGTGACACAGACTTGGCCCTTCTCTTGAGGAGCTGGTTTTCCTGGGTGGCATGCTGAGAAACCCTGCCCCTGGTGCAGAGCGTGGTGAGAGGGAGGAGTCCATGTCTCGTCTTGCTTTCCTTGGCAGGTCTACATCCGGATAAAGGACGACGAGTGGAACGTCTACCGGCGGTACACGGAGTTCCGGAGTCTGCACCACAAGCTGCAGAGCAGGTTCCCCCAGGTGCGGGCCTACAGCTTCCCACCCAAGAAGGCCATCGGGAACAAGGTACGTCCTGCGCAGGGCCGGCCGCCCTCCCACTGCCTGAAAACATGCTTTCTAAAGAAAGTTGGCCAAAATAAGAAAAAATAGAAAAGAGAAAATAGTCAGCTGGCTCCAGCCACCCTAGGTAGCCACTGCTGTCCCTCCCAGGGCGGGGACAGCGACAGCTCCAGGAAGGGCCAAGTGCAGACACTTCGGCTCTGTGACCACACGTTTCTGCCACAGGCCCCCTACCCGCCACGGTGGCAGGGACACTCTGGACAGTGCGGATACCCAGGTGGCAGCTGGGGTTGGCCTGTGGGTCCAGTTTGCGGTCGCTGTCCTGGACAGTGGCCTTTCTCATTTGCATCCACAGCTGTGCTATTCACCTGGCCGCGCCATGGGGCGAGCACTTGCTTGGGGGCTTTCTTTATCGTAGGGTCACCCTATCAAGAGGGCAGTGATGCATGTGACCTGGCTTGCTCCAGGGGTTGGTCCCAGTGCCCTGAGGGGAGGCGCACCCACAGCCCCACTGGTAGAGGGGTACACCCTGGTCCAACAGGAAGCTCTTGAGCACCTCTTCTTGTCGCCGTGTGAGGGGCCAGCACTGGACAGGACAGCATGGGCTGGGCCCGGTGTGGAAGCCTATTCACGGTCTGCTGCAGCAGCTGCCACCCCTTGCCCACCCCACTGTTTGCTTGGCTGCATTTGGGCCACCTGGAGCCTTGGGATCCACCGCCCCCGCCTCCCGGCCCATTCTGATTTCACCGCTCTGGAGCGAGGCCTGGGCCTTGAGGGGTCGGGGGCTCTCTGGATGCTCTGGTCCACGGCTGAGCTGGGGAGCCGGGCTCAGGCAGGAGGTGGAAGTTCTTCAGCAGCGTCAGCGCATTAGGTGGCAGGGCAGGGGCAGTCCGATCCCATGAGGTGGAGCCGTGAGCCTCCTCAGGAAAGGAGCTGAGACTGTACGAGCCTGATCCCTGGGGGACGGTGGTGGGTCTCCAGGTGTGGCCTCCACCTGGCCCATCAGCATCCCCGGGGGCTTGGCAGACATGATGACATGCACATTGTTTTCTTCCTTTTTGTGATGCTGGGAATCAAACAGGGTTTTGCACACACCAGGATGCCACTAAGCTACACCCCCAGCTAAAAATGCAGGTTCTCGGGCTCCACCCCAGACCTGCTGAGACCTGCAGTGTGGCTTAACCAGCCTGCAGGCAATGCTGATGCCGGGGGCAGTGGGAGGCAGCCGGAGACCCCTGTCCTGTCCCATGGACAAAACAGGGGCCAGGTCCGGGTGGTGGATTTCCCACGTCTCTCTCCAGGGGGACCTTGGCAGGATTTCCTCGGACCTCTGTCATATAGCAAGAGTTTGTATGACCCACTGCCCGTCCTTGGAATTCCACAGGGACAGCCACTGTCACTGGCTGGTACATCGACTTGGGCATGGATTTATGAGTTAAAAATGCTAGGAATCTGACCCCCTAGAGGTCTACTGGGTTTCAGCAGGAATGGTTTTAAAGCAGATTCTCTCAGGTTGAGAATAAATCTATGCTTCATTTTTCTATTGAAGAACAAACAGTGGAACTGAACCCAAACACATACAAAACTTGTTTGTAGCAAGGAGTACAATAATTCTTTTGAAAAGAGGATGGAAAATTACATATTGATTTAACCTAATGACTTGTAGGCTCATACAAAGCTTGGGACCCATCCAGAATGTCTAAAAATGTCATAAAACAGAAGTCAGACTACATAGCGCATTATCATCATAAGATTTTCTCATTGGCAAAGGTCTTACCTGACACCCTCCTCATTGAGCCTGCCCTGTCTGCAACTGGCTGAGGCACCTCCAGTACAAGGCTGCACTGAGGGGATTCAGAGAGTAGAGGATCTAGTGTGAGCTTCCTATTTCTGCTGTAACAAATCAAAAACACAAGGGCCTGAAGGAACAGATTCATATCTTACAGATACAGAGGTCACAAGTCCAGAATTGGTCTGATGGGGCTAAAATCGGGGTGTTGGCAGGAAGGGTTCCTTCTGAGGCCCCGGGAAAGAGTCTCTGGCTGTTCTGCAGTTTTGGCTCGGGGCTCTCTTCTGTCTTCCAGGACTGCAGTCATGTCACTGTGACCTCTGCCTGTGTCCTTCTTGTCACCTCTGCTTCTCACCTTCTTTGGATGGCAGTGAACCCCTCCAGCTCACCTCCCATCTCAGGACCCTTCTTTGAGTCATGGCTGCTAAGTCCCTGTTGCCAGGGAACGTGACGGGGATGAGGAGGGAGATGGCCTGGGGCACCCTTCAGCCAGCCACATACCCTCGTGGCTAGATGCACCTCCATTCTGACCCTGCACCTCCCCGAGTCCTGCAGTTACACAAACCTTGTTTAAGATGAAACAAGTCCATGGTGAGCACCGGCCCTGAGAGCACTGGGTGGGGACCGAGCTCAGTGAGCTGAAGCTCACTCAGGCTTGGAGAGCAGAGGGTACTCCTGGCGTTGAGTGACCTAGGAAGAAGGCATGGAGCGCTGGGCCCATCCTGTCTGCATGGGGCCTGTGAGCAGGTTCTCTTTGCAGAGGGCCATCCAGGGCCTCCTGCCTCCCTCCACCCTCCCTTACCTCCAGGCCAGGAGGGACTCGTCCCTGCAGGTCCTGGGACGAGTGCCAGTAGCAGTGGGCTTTCCTCTGTGAAGCTGGCGTCACTGGAGCAGTGGCTGCTTGTGCCCCAGTAACTTGATCAGCAAATGTCTGCGCTCAGGGAGGCAGGTTGGCCCTGGCTAGCTAGTCACCAGATGGACTGCCCTGTTCCCGGGGGACAGGGGGTCCTCTCCAGCCTGTGCTGCCCTTTAACTTGTCACTGGCTGGTTGGACAGCGATTGTGCTCTGACCCCTCTTCCTCTGCGTCTGGGCTAGGAAGTACCCCCTTCCCTTTAGTCCACTTGGGCTGTTGCCCAGGACATCTGAGCAGTTCTTCCTGTTGTCAGGAGGACTGAGTCGGGTGCAGGACATTTAAGGCCCAGCAGAGGCCACGGATGAACTCAGTTAAGGTCAGACTCGGGCAGCTCCGACTGGGCCTGAGACCCTGAGGGCACGATTTCTGGAGTGCTTTGATTCTAAACTGGCCCAGAAAATACAGCCGCATCAGAATCTTCCCCTTGACTGGACAGCTTCAGGGTGACTCCATGGTCTGCGTGGACCACTGGGGTGCACACCAAACCCAGTGAGTGGATGGATTGTGGGTGAGCTGGAGCTTGCGTGCCGTGTTACCCTGAGCCGTGGCCTGTTAACAGACTCTGGAATCCAGAGACCTGAGCTTTAGTCAGGGAAATGTTGAGCAGTTGGCCTTTTTTCCAGGTCAGATGAATATCCTTGTCGCTTGGCTTTCTGTTATTTCCCCCGTGATGTCATCACTGGTGACTGTCTGCAGGTCTCAAAATTAAAATGTCATCTGGACCCCAATTTGAACCCATTTTTAATTGATAAATGAGTGCACGGTATAGTTCGGGACTCAGCATTTATCTTTATCAAAGAATTCCTGTTGCGCGTAGCAGGCGTGTGGTTAATGTGGATACACAGATCCTCGGAGCCTCCTAGAGGCATCCGTGTCCTGGGACGCCTGGCACCCCATCCAGGTTAAAGTAGCTGACCTGTCAGTCCACCACTCCACCAGGTTCATTCCTCGTAGCTAAGTTAAGCCACAATGGAGAGCCAGTTAACTCTCGTTGTCACAGATGTGAGACTTCTGTCGGTCAGGACAGGCTTGGGAAGGCTGAGGTAACACACAGTTCCAGGATCTTGGTGACCTAAACAGACAAAGGAGTGTTCTGGCTCATGTTCCACGTTCATGGGAGCTGGGAGCTCTGCTCCCCACGGAGTGGGATAGTTGGGTCAAATGGTGGTTCAATTCCAAGTTTTCTGAGGAATCTCCATGCTGTTTACCAGAGTGGTTGTGCCAATTTGCAGTCCCACCAGCAGTGTGTGAGTGTACCTCTCTCTCCACATCCTCACCAATATTTATTGTGACTTGCATTCTTGATAATTGCCATCTGGCTGGAGTAAGATGGAATCTTAGTTTAGTTTTAATTTGAATTTCTCTAATTACTAGAGATATTGAACATTTTTTCATATATTTGTTGACCAATAATATTTCTTCTGTAAAGTGCCTGTTCAGTTCCTTTGCCTATTTAGTGACTGAGTTATTTGGGGTTTTGGTGTTAAGTTTTTTGAGTTCTTTATATATCCTGGAGATTAATGCTCTATCTGAGGTGCAGGTGGCAAAGATTTCCTCCCATTCTGTAGGCTCTCTCTTCACATTCTTGTTTCCTTTGCTGTGAAGAAGCTTTTTAGCTATTTATTGATTCATTTTTAAAATGTGTTATTGTATTTTTTTATACCTTTATCTATTTTTATGTGGTGCTAAAGATGGAACCCAGTGCCTCACGTGTGCTAGACAAGTGCTCTTCACTGAGCTACAACTGTGGCCCCCATTTATGGATTCTTAAGTTTACTTCTTACGCTTTAGGAGTCTTGTTGAGGAGTCTGTTCCTAAGCCAACAGGATGGAGAGTTGGGCCTACTTTTTTTCTAGTCGGTGCAGGGTCTCTGGTCTAATGCCTAGGTCCTTGATCCACTTTGAGTTGAGTTTTGTGCAGGGTGAGAGATAGGGGTCTAATTTCATTCTGCTACGTATGGATTTCCAGTTTTCCCAGCATTATTTGTTGAAGAGGCTATCTTTTCTCCCATGTATGTTTATAGTGCCTTTGTCTAATATGAGATAACTGTATTTATGTGGATTTGTCTCTGTGTCTTCTATTCTGTACCATGTCTGTTTTGGTGCCAATACCATGCTGTTTTTGTTACTATAGCTTTGTGGTATAATTTAAGGTCTGGAATTGTGATGCCTTCTGCTTCACTTTTCTAAGAATTGCTTTGGCTATTCTGTGTCTCTTATTTTTCTGAATGAATTTCATGACTACTTTTTCTATTTCTATGAAAAACGTCATTAGAATTTTAATAGGAACTGCATTAACTCTGT